ATATGGGAGAAGGTGATCTCACAGATAAACTGATCCCAAGATTTAGACCTCACATGCACATACCATTCCTCTCATTTCCTCCCACTGTGGCTATTTACCCAGTAGGGTAAAACATATGTCAGGAGTGCTCTGATGGTGTTTTCCTGCTTGGCAGGGGGTTGGACTCGATGGCCCTTGTGGTCTCTTCCAGCTCTATGATTCTATGATTCTATGATATCGGTTTCCAAATGATGCCTACATATTTTCCCCATGTGGCAACTAACAGTTTGAGGGACCCTTGTAAGTGGGGGAAATGATGCAGTGGGGGGTGAGGATTATGGCTCTCCACCACCACCACCACCACCAAACGCCCCCAAACACCACAATCCTATCCTGATTTGCGCTCTCCTGGAACTACAGTGTTTATGTATTTAAAGCAAAAGGAAAAACCCACAGCACAGGAGATGGTGCAATTATTATCCTGGATGATGCACATCTGCTTTGGCTTCTAATGTGCAACTGGACCAAATGTGGTCAGGCATTCTTCAGGTGAGAAGGGGAAAGGGGTGTGTATCATTGGCACATAGAGTCAGCAGGTTGGGGAGCTGCATAGCCTATTGTATAGAGAACAGTACTCCATTTGAAGGACTGTCCAAGTGAAGCCTTGTTTGAAGAGAAAGAAGGGCCCCTAAAGTCACCTATCAACCATAGCAGTGGTGGTTCTTTACCTGTAATCAGGATTTGGACCAGACAGAGTCTTCAGAGAGGGTGCACCTTCAGATAGAGGACTTCTCCTGACAGCTCTTCATATAGAGGACTCTCTCATAACACTAGAGCTCATGGACATTCAATGAAGCTGAATGTTGGGAGATTCAGGACGGATGAAAGAAAGTCCTTCTTCACACAGCACAGAGTTAAACTATGGAGCCCCCAGGAGGCAGTGATGACCAACAACTTGGATGGCTTTAAAACAGGATCACACAGATTCATGGAGAGGGCTAATGATGGCTACTAGCCACAATGGCTATGTATGTTCTGCCTCTACAGTTAGAAACAGAAAATCTCCTGAATAATAGTCACTGGAAACCACAGGAGGGGAGAGTGCCCTTGTTCTCAAGTCCTGCTTGCTTGACTCCCTTTGGGGCAGCTGGTTGGTCACTGTGAAAACAGGATTCTGGACTAGATGAGCCACTGGCCTGATCTAGCCAGTAAAAACAGTCGCATGACAACTCCAAACCCTCATCTCTCCCTTAGTCAACCTGCATTGTAGAAATGTCTATGGAAGGCAGCATGAAAACTGATTATGGAACATGAAAACTGATTATTAAGGAATTTGGTGTCACTGCGGCTTGTCTAAAAATGTCCTCTTTGAGCACAGAAAGAATCAAGGAAGTCCTCCGCATCAAGTTAAGCACTTTTTGAAAAATCCATTGTCAGCCAATATTTTTTTTGCTAATCTCCACATGGGATGTGTGGGTGTATGGATGGGTTTCCTCCAAATAGGTTCTGTCCACAGGATTCTTTCACAGCCTGAATGGAGTGAAGTTAGTGGCCTGAGATACATTCAGATTTTATTATGCTTCCAACTGATTCCCCTTCCCACCTGGTGAGTGGAGTAAATTTTTTGAACACTGGACTCTTAAATATTTACTGGCCCCAAAATGTTGGGAAGCCACCATTCTACATGCTTGGATTCTGAATCAAGTTTGATTCTCAGAGTTTCCCACTATTGCAGATGGAGATAAAATTGATTTAGTTCACATTTAATGGTGAGCCCACTTAACTTGCACTTTCTGAAACAATATGCAAACCAAAATACAGGCGTTCTTTGACATTCTCACTTCTCTGACTATTGCAGTGCAATTCTCCAGCCAAGTTGTATGCACAAAATGCACAAATGAGGGTGAAGTGGGCATTTAAAAAATGCACATATTTGTGCCAGTAACACACAAAAAATTAGGAGGAATTGATTTGGGAAATTGCATATAAAAATACTGGTGAATTTTCCTGAGGACTTTTAGGAGGGGGTGGGAGCAAAGTGCTGTGGAATTTTAAAGAAATGAATTTAAGGTTGGGGAAAGACAAACCAAAATTGACACCCACTCCTGTATCCCACTGTCAACTCAAACTGGTTGTGGTGAAGTTGCAGCACCATCTACTTGCTTCCTTGTTCAGTTATACCTGCAGGTTCATGGAGCAAGTCTTTTTAAACACTTTCGCCTCTTAGCTGGAGGGAGCAACACCAGCAGAAACCCTGAGACCTCTTTCTTACCTTTCCTTATAATATTCCTCCCAGAAGAACAGAAGATCTAGGTGGGTTTCATGACTGGCACTTGCATGATAAGACATTTGCATTTAAAACTCAGTCATGTTATTGCAGTAGATCTAATGTGCTTGCTGGGACGCGGGTGGCGCTGTGGGTTAAACCACAGCGCCTAGGACTTGCCGATCAGAAGGTTGGCAGTTCGAATCCCCGCAACGGGTAAGCTCCCATTGCCCAGGTTCCTACTCCTGCCAACCTAGCAGTTCAAAAGCACGTCAAAGTGCAAGTAGATAAATAGGTACCACTCCGGCGGAAAGGTAAACGGCGTTTCCATGTGCTGCTCTGGTTCGCCAGAAGCGGCTTATTCATGCTGGCCACATGACCTGGAAGTTGTACGCCGGCTCCCTCGGCCAATAAAGCAAGATGAGCGCCGCAGCCCCAGAGACGGTCATGACTGGACCTAATGGTCAGGGGTTCCTTTACTTTTATCTTAATGTGCTTGCTACCAAAACCTCAGTAAGCTTGCTCCAGTTCATCATGGCTGCAATGATTATTATTTATTATTATTATTCCTCATATTTTGGGATGTGAACATAAGACCTTAAGAAGAGCCTGCTGGTCAGGCCAATGGTCCAGGAGGGCGCACTCAAGATGTTGCACCCTTTCCCAACCTGGTGCCCTCCAGGTGTCATGGGAAACAGCTTCCATCAACCCCAGCCAGAGTAGCCTTGAAAATGTCAGGTGTGAACAAATGTGGCAAAACCCACAAGCTTGTGCCTTGTTCACATCCACTCATTAAGGGGCAGCTGTGTTGATTCCCTGCCAGATTTGCACAGGGTAATATAGAGGCCCTCCCAATAACCCCGGTAGAACCCTTGATGGGAATCTAAATTGCTGAAGCTCAGTGTGATACTCGGAAAAGGTTCTTGCACGCTTGAAAACTTGAAACCTGAAAAAGGTTCCTACCCTTGAATTTAGGGAGCATTTTCTTTCAATCTGGACAAATTGAATCAGCACAAGTCAATTGTAGCAAATGAGAAGTGGTTTAAAGCTTCCCCTTTCATGTCTTGTCACTTTTAGAAACTTTGTCTTGTGACTTCTTTTTGGATAAACAAACCAAGACGCACTCTCAGAATATGGCTGAGTTAAAATTCTGGGGATATAGGTTCTGAAAGCCAAATATCGACCTCGAAATCCAAACTGCAAATGTGGAGAATTCATCCATTTAAAAGAAAAAAGAAAAAACTGGGAAATCCTGTTTCAACTGTTCAATATTCTCTAAGGAAGAGAAAACAATTGAATAATCCTATTTGGCCACAGGAGTTCTATGATGGATGCGTATGTGTTTTTAAAAACACGGAAAAGGCTTTTTAGCTGATCATAAACACGGTCAAGCAGTTGTTTAGTTTTCTATTCTTTCTCGCGCTCCTTTTTTTCTTCATAAAAAATTCTTGACATGAATCTCTGCTATCTGGCGGGCTGCCAGCTCAGTAATAGCATACTGCAGATTACCAGGGAAATGTTTGTTTACAACACTGAACACATTTCATGGGGGC